ACATCCTTCATTACTACATCACATCCTTCATTACTACATCACATCCTTCACCACTACATCACATCCTTCACTACTGTATGCTCACGACCCTATCCACATCGACCTATTCTCTCACTACCACGATAATCCCTAAAAGTGTCTTCTCATAATCGATTACAGACTCGTACACGCTGCTGGTATCCCCGCGCATGGTGTGTCTGGTCCTATCCTTTCTGCAAGAAATAGGACTGGTGTCCCTGTGCCAAGCCCTGGACGCAGACCCGGTGCCTATTGTGGTGACATCGGCCTTGTCGCACGTGGTGTGGGTGTTCCACACGCACACGTTCTCCAATACTATCGAGTCAGCGCTCGTTACGCTGGCCATCTGGTTAGTTGTACGGTGCAGGTTAAAGGTGTGTGTGTGTGAAGTATATATATACATATGTGTGTATGTGATATATATTTATATATATATATATGTATGTATATATATATATATATATATGTGTGTGTGTGTGTGTGTGTGTGTGTGTGTGTGTGTGTGAGTATAAAGTATGTGTGTGAGTGGTGCGTATAGGCGCGAGTGTGTGTGCCCGCTATCGCATGTGATGTGAGTTTGTCACACGCACACGTTTTTTCAGTACAATATAGTCTTTACAATATAAGTCACGCCTGCACTCCACCTCGTGACCCATTGCTAGCTGTAGGTGTGTAGGTGTAGTTGTTCCCTATTTTGTGTATACTTGGGCGTCTCCTTATTCTCCATCACTTGTCTGCCTACGTGCCTTTGCGTTGCTGAGTCACAGTCGTATGTGCCACTATCTAACGTAGGCATGTGTTGCGCGCGTTGGAAGTGGCGGGAATGGTACCGGTTTAGGATCAGTGCGTATACCGGGATCATGAGCTGTATAGGTATACACTCACTTACGCAGAGTCTTAGTCTATAACGGGCTGTCACACCTGCTGAGCTATTGGTTAATACTGTCCCACTGAGATATACCAGAGTTTTGACTTTCGGGTTTAGGGTTTCGGTACGTGTTCAGACACACGATCATCTCACCGTACAGACGGGTGTGGTCTGCTCCGCACTTTCATACTTGCAGATTGAGAATATGTACAGTCTGTTCATAAACACGTATAACGTTTGCACACGCAAACACGTATGGTACACAAGCGTGTTCTTAGTTTAATTATACATGTATCCCTATTCTGAGTGTGAGTATACGTACATTTCCACTCACAAACACGTAGATTGTATGCGTTCACACCTACTTTGCTGCAACGCACTCTGCGTGTAGGTATCCGTACGTTCTGTCCACGCATACGATACTGTGTGCACGCACACACCCATGGCATTCACGGACGTCCCATCAACGTATACGAATTGGTTACACACGACCATGCACACGTGCAAGACACTCAGATCTACATGCGCTTACAATACATCTACAGGCACACAGCAAGCCGCCGGAGAGCACTCTGGGTGCTGATATGATGCTAGGTGTGACTATTGGTGTGGGTATCTTCACACGGTTTACGTTTGCCGTGTTTACGTTACCGCCGGCAGTCGCGTGGCTGTACATCAATATTAACGCGTACAGGCGCACAGGTACGGATGCATATGATGGTGGGTGGGGGTGGGGTGTCCTGGTTTGTACACCTCACTCTATCGCCGTTGCCGGTGTAATTGATCACATCTCCATGTTCCAACTCGAGTTCGTGGGCCATTCGATGTCTTCACACACCGTTGTCTTGAGTCTCCCATTCCGACCTCTGACACAACCGATCCCACAATCCCCGGTGTAGTCTATATCAAGCCTCTCCGTAACATACTACTGGAGTGGTGATATTTTTACAATAGGAGTGTCCGATACCAATCCATCGACTATGTCCACTCACACACTTGCACACGTGTTTACCACTTCTCCCTTGCACATGTGTTTGCGTTTACGTGTACTTCTTCTGCCTCGCTCACAGGCTATTCTGTGCCAAGTGCAGTCCTTCGCACCACCGCGTGTGGACTGGCGCGGGTGCTGCTGCCGTTTGTGCTGGTCAGTGCCTTGTTCACAGGTATGTCCAACGCAAACACAACACGTACGCACACGCATCCACGTTGATACGCATAGTCGTCAACCAGATGCCGCGCCTCATTGTCATTGGTATCTTTTGGGGTTTTAGGGTTCTAGGGTTTTCCTAAATCGGTACTTTGGTCTACGGATGTGGATGTATGCAATGCACGTGGTGTGTATATATGGCATACTCCCAATGGGGTCGCTCTACCGCACTCATTCACTGAACACGTTGAACACGTGCACGCTAACATGTCTAGTGTGCTTTATACCCGTCCCACACTCAGCTCACACGTCACTGTCTTCTCGTCACTCTTCACAGCCATAGACACAGCATACTACCTCGGGCCCTTCCGCCTGACAGAGGTTGCCGTGGCACTCAACCACTACCTACACATCCCCACCGTCGACTCTGTGCAGCACACGGTCAGAGGGCACGTGCACGCTACGGTTGCGTACTCCGTGCGTGCTTGGGTACTGCCTGTGGTCATATGGCTGGGGGAATGCCTGGAGAGTGCGGGTGTGGGCCGCGTGGGCGCAAGTGTGGAGGAGATGGTAGGTTTAATGTGGATGTATTATCTGATGGTAGTAAGTGATGATCCAATGTAGGTATAAGGCAAGTGTGGAGGGTATGGTAGGTTTAATGTGGATGTATTATCTGATGGTAGTAAGTGATGATTCAATGTAGGTATAAGGCAAGTGTGGAGGATATGGTAGGTTTAATGTGGATGTATCATCTGAGGCTAGTAAGCGATGATTCAATAAAGGTATAAGGCAAGTGTGGAGGATATGGTAGGTTTAATGTGGATGTATTATCTGGTGGTGGTAAGTGATGATTCAATGTAGGTATAAGGCAAGTGTGGAGGATATGGTAGGTTTAATGTGTATGTATTATCTAATGCTAGTAAGTGATGATTCCATGTAGGTATAAGGCAAGTGTGGAGGATATGGTAGGTTTAATGTGTATGTACTATACTATCTGGTGCTTGTAAGTGATGTTTCAATGTAGGTATAAGTAAGGGAGTGTTCAGCCTTCTGTGTACTCACAAGCACACACTCGCCCCGTCCCGCCCCCCACACCCCAGGACATGAGCGCCTTCGCAGGCGTGTGGCAATGGATTGTACTAACCCCCCTCAACGGCCTCAGCTACAACCTCGACACCGCTAATCTAGCAACTCACGGCCTACACTCCCGGGCTACACACCTGGTCACCAACATGCCCATGCTGTACGGACCTTTAGCACTCACGCTGCTGTATGTGACTGTACGCGCACTCAGTGTGTGTGCGTTGAGTGTGCGGGTGGGGCGGCGAGAGGGGTCAAGAGCGTGGCAACGGCTGGCGGTGACGGTACTACCGCCGGCCGTACACTTGGAGAAGCGGCCGCTTGTGCTGCAACACCCAGGGTATGTGGATAGTACACGTGGATTAACGTATTGGGATGTGGAATGTATGTTTGTGTATCTGTGATACGGAATTTACGTATACGTTTTGGGATGAATTATGATATATTTGTATATATATATATATACATATATGATGGTTCTAACTCTGACCACAACCTGCCTATCGCCCAAGTAACCAACTGATGGCACACTCAGCTCAAGCACCAACAGCAAACATCGTTACTTGTAACTCCACAATACCAATGCACAAGTATATAGTGATTCTAACGCTTACCACAACCTGCCTGCACACAGACTATCCCCCAAGAAACCAACCAACACCACACCAACGCAGACACCAATAAACCCCCCGGACACGCGCACTCGAACGCGATCCCGAGCCAGCCAAGGCAGAGAGAGTACCAGCACTCAACACACACACACAGACTACACAAGACACACCAACACACCCCGTACGATCAACGAGACGGTCCAGAGTGTCCTCACACACCGGAGCAGGGATGCACGGGCGAAGTCGGGGGATATAGATAGGGATAGGGATAGGGGTGTGCAGAGCGGCAGTGGTATGCACGCGACTGGCCAGGGTGTGGCACGGGGGTGTCAGGAAGAAAGCGTGGATGATGTGCTCAGAGGCATCGGATCGCTCACACTCGATACCTCTGCGGCCTGGAGGCAGAGTGGGAAGGATGGTACAGCACCCCTCCAGTCTACACACACACACACATACACACACAGTACACACAGTGTCGGTGATGAAGGTGATAAGAGAAGGAACCCACGCACCACTCCACGTGTGCGTGCGAGTGGTAAGTCTCCGGCCCTGACCCTGAACCGCGATGAGATAGGCACGTACGACGACATGTGCGACACCAGCCCGTACGCTCCCCTGAGAGAGCACACACCGCTGAGAGGACATTCCCGCTCGGTGCACGCGTTCGTACTGACGTTCTTGCTGGCGTGTGTGTGGGTGCCACTGGCGGTGCTGTCTGTGCAACCCCATCAGGAGGCAAGGTTTCTGTTGCCCTTGGTGACGCCGATGATGCTTCTCACAGCTACGCCGTACTTCCAGACTAGTCTCGCCATACCCACGTTTGTGCTGTTCAATGGGGTGGTGGGAGCTATGTACGGGTAAGGTATTCGGGTGTGTGTGAGAGAGAGAGAGAGTGTGTGTGTGTGTGTGTGAATGAGAGTGAGTTTATGTGAGTGAGTGAGAGAGAGAGTGAGTGTGTGTGTGTGTGTGTGTTGGTGGGTTGGTGTGTTGTGTATGCCTACATAGATACGTAGGTATTCCTGATGGCGTGTGGTGGGGGGTTCTGTGGTTGGTGCTGTCTGTACAGCCACACCAGTAGGCGAGATTCCTGCCGCCTATACGATCCCAGCGATGTTGCTACACTATCAATTGTCGTACGATTAGTTGTCGCACTATCAATTGTCGTACGATTAATTGTCGCACTATCAATTGTCGTACTATCAATTGTCGTATGTGTGTGAATAAATAGACATGATGGGCATCTCCAGCCGTGGCGTCCCATCACTTGTATTCGCTGTCGTATCTAAAGTTCAGCTTTACACACGCCAGCAAATTATTCCGGATCGCATTTCGGCTTGTAATACTTTCCTGATTTATTAGGTAATTAATTTCGGCTTTAAATACAAATTTCGGCACTACAAATAATCCATCTCGATCCAAGTACATCCCCCAAGCCGGCGTGGGCACTGTACCGTCGCTGCTGCATTGGTGAGAGGACACACACACACACAAGTGCACCCCGCGCTTTCTTGGCTTATGCGCATTTCTGATTCGGGATGACACACGTTTATTATGGGGCAACCCCATCCAAAACATATTAATAATAAGCATGCCAACCCCGTCTGAAACATGATTATTAATACTAAACATGTCAACTCCATCCAGGTACATCCACCAGGCAGGCGTGGTGCCGTCGCTGGTCTATCTGCGCGATGACATACACACAACGTTCGAGGTCACCGGTTGTGAGGACTTTACGGCTGTGTACTACCATACCTACATGCCCCCTCGGTTCCTGTATCTCAGCACCGGAGAAACACCGTACACGTACGTTCAGTTGGGTGTGCATGTTCATGTATTTATGTACACATACGTACAGTTGGGTGTGCATGTTCATGTATTTATGTACATGTATGTACAGTTTGGTGTGCATGTCTATGTATTTATGTACACGTACGTACAGTTGGGTGTGCATGTTCAGGTATCTATGTACACGTACGTACAGTTGAGTGTGCAAGTTCATGTATTTATGTACACGTATGTACAGTTTGGTGTGCATGTTCATGTATTCATGTACACGTACGTATATGATATTTATATAGTATCAATAGAGGGGTATATGATATCTATGCAGTATACATAGAGGGGTTCATGATATGTATATAGTATCTATAGAGGAGTATATGCTTATCTATCTATAGATGGTTACATAATATCTATATAGTATCTATAGAGGAGAGTATATGCTTATCTATATAGAATATATATAGGGGCATATGTTTATCTATATAGTATCTATAGAGGGATATATGATATCTATATAGTATCTATAGAGGGGTATATATTTCTCTCTATTGATATAGACCTGTAGGGTGAACCTCTGCGCTCTCTCTCCCGTTGCAACTACTAACAATCCCGTGCACTGTGGCAAGTGTCACGTGTCAGTGTATGTACAGACTATTAATAGTGTCAGTGTATGTACAGACTATTAATGGTGTCACGTGTCAGTGTATGTACAGACTATTAATAGTGTCAGTGTATGTACAGACTGTTAATAGTGTCACGTGTCATTGTATGTACAGACTATTAATAGCACCGGATTTATCAACTGACAGGTCAACTCTGGACGATCTCAAGGGGGCGGATGTGGCTGTGTTGAGCGCGCGTATACACGAATGGGTAACCAATGGCAACGAAGATGTGGGTGGTAGATATGGACAAGACAATACACCTGTGGATGGTAAATTTGGACCGGTCCTAGAGCGGGTCCGCAGAGACGTGCACAGACACACGCCTCGGAGTGCGGCGGTACGGAAGACGGAGGGTAGGCAAGTGCGGGGGTATGCTCATACGGATGGAGGTAAACATACAGACACACAGGCAATACTGCATGCACACGTGCAGCAGGAAACACAGCCGCAGGCTCAGGCTCAGGGACGAATGAAGCAGGATGGACAGGAACACGCACACACACACGAGCGTAGAGATGGGGGTAGAGACGATGGAGCGGATAGGAGTCAGCTGGGCAAGGGTCCTGTGGTTGGTGAGGATAGGGCATCTGTACATACCGGGGTGGATGCGGGTGAGGGTAGTGATGTGAGTGGGGAGTCTGGTAGGGACATAGACCCGAACGGGTTGGTGGGTGTGCATGGGATGGGTGAGGCGAATGAAAGGGGTGTACGAGATGGGGCTCTGGGGGAGCGGAAGGAACGGTATACGGAGGCTAGTGTAGATGGTTACAGTGAAAGAGAGGTTGTAGAGCGAGATATGGGCGTGGATGGACAGGAACACAAAGAGCTGCCTCATACACACACACACATGCACGCGGATATAGGGGACGCGTACACACACACACACACACACGACCCACACGTCCACGAAGCATATACAGCTGTGGAGGATGTACATGAGAGCTATGTACACGTTCAGGGGACCGACGCACATACCCACGACGTTGATAGCATGGTTGTAGATGACAGCACACACCAGCACTACACAGACGGTAAATGGGACACAGGAGGTGGGGATGAGCAGCAGGGGCAGGTGATGAGTGCGACAGACAACGGGCCCTGCAGGTGTGTGGGAAGGGGAGGGTTATACGTATACGTTAGCATATGCGTTGATATATATGCCAAGGTGCGTGTGAGAAATGAAGAGTTATACGTATACGTTTTCGTGTGCGTATACATAGACGCTAAGGTTTGTGTCGGAAGGGGAGGGTCATGTGAATGCATTATCATATGAGGGTTATAGATATAAGTTATCGTATGCGTATACGTATATGCTAAGGTGTGTGTTGGAAGGGGAGAATTATACGTATATGTTATCATGTGCGTGCCAAGACGTGTGTCGGAAATGAAGGTATATGTATATATATATATAAGTGTGTGTGTGTGTACTTATTGTGTGTATATGTGTGTGCACGCTTGAATATATGTAAGCGTGCATGCATGCATGGAGGGTTAATCGCAGACAAGTGCTCTCCCATATACCTACACATGTGGATCGCGTTGCCTCTCTTCATTTTGTTACGCTCTGCTCTTCCTCTCTCAGATATTATGATTCTATGAGCCATTCCAAACCCTTACCTTCTCACCTTGCCACATACAAACTCTACACTCAGAGATCGGTTTATAGCACTGCTCGGTATAGTTGAGCTTGCCTTTACCCCTTATGTCATGCCCGCTCACTAACACACCTTATCTTTCTCATACACCTGCACGTCCAATACCCAGGACGCTGTATGTGGTGCTACCCAGCACAGTCGAGGCTGCCATATACACACTGGAACAGAATCCCGACGTAAATTTCACATTGCAACGTGACTTCTTCCCGCATTTCTCCGGGGAGGTGTGTTATGATCACCTCGCATGTCTTTTCGATTTGTATAAATGAATGTAATTTATA